TCAAATCTAAGTGTTGGTCAAAAACAACTAGTATGTCTTGCAAGAGCAATATTGAAGAAGAGTAAAATTCTAGTGATTGATGAAGCAACTGCTAATGTTGATAATGCGTAAGTGAAGATGGAGATGAATATTGTTGTTTATACATGTATATGTTTAGAACGGATGAACTTATTCAAAAAGCTATTCGTGAACAGTTCAAAGAATGTACAGTATTGACAGTAGCTCATCGTTTGCGAACAGTGATTGATAGTGATCGTATATTGGTATGCAATGGGAGTTTAATATTGTTGTTTGAATATGAAGATGTGATTATTGTAATTGTAGGTACTTGGTAATGGCAAAGTATTAGAATTTGATTATCCTGATATATTATTATCAAACAATGAATCTCAATTTGCATCACTTGTTGAACAAGCAGGTGTTGGCGAGGCTGAATATCTCCATTCAATGGCAAATAATAGTTCATCGAGAATGAAATCAGATATTGAGTATAGTAATGAATTGCCAATGAACATTTCTGAGCATGATCCTCTCATTGTATGAAAAATTTTATGTTTAATATGAACAGTATTATTTTTTAAATAGTTGCAATTTTCTTATCAGTATATAGTATATAAATTAAATAAACAAGCACTCGTCGATCTGAAACACTAAAATCGAATTAAGATACAAAACGAGCGATTCATGAATGTGGGGTGTGAGTGTGGGTACGAAAACAGGTGAATACTCACGCCCACAACGAAATTCATGTTAAAAGAAGTAGGAAAAAAAATCGTTTTTAAGTCCATGTGACATTCATCAAGTATATTTTTCACTTTTTATAGTACTTTTCTATTTCTGAAAGCATATTATATTAATTTTGTTGTCTGTGAGTGTGTGAGTATCGAATGATGCAATAACTACACACAAATCCACATCCTCAATAAAACGGAATAAGACTGAATATTATTTAGTGACAAATTTTTATTGCTTAAGAAGCATGTTTTATGTTTTTTTATTATACTCTTCAGTTAATAATATGAACTACGTCAATGAATTACTTCACAACGGAAAGCAAACACTTTTTATTGTTAAAACGTCATAAGTAACACACATAGATAACGTTTGCATAGCGTCATTCTGTTTATCGTAGCAACTATCATTTAATGACGTATATCTCAAGATTCTTTTCTGACCATCTATTTAAAGTTATATATATATATATAACTAAACATTAATATCAGTTTAAATATAAAAGTAACTATGATAGTGCATTTGATACTCTTATTTGTTGGCCTTGTGTCATTGGGACAAACATCTATTCTTCAATGTAATTTCGAAACACCTTGTCAAGACTTTACTCTTGATCGTAATTGGGGTGTGACTGATGGACTTCATCCATTACCCATTGATCATGATCATACATTGAATACAACATCTGGTCATTATGTATTTTATAATCCACAAAGTTCACCAAAATTCCAATTAGCAGAGATTAAAACAAACACTTGGTTAGAATTACCAACTGATCGAGCTGTGTGTTTTCAAATGTGGTATTATACATCTTCTCTTGACTTTCCATTTAATATTCAACTTGTACAAGGTAACGATGAACAACTAACACGAATTGTAGCTTCTATTCCTGGTAAAGATCCGTCAATAAATGATTGGACACAAATTAAAATTACATTACCAGCTGAAAAGTTTAAAGTATTTATTCGATTGAATACTACAACTGGATCATTAGCTTTCGATGATTTTTTAGTTGATTATTGTGATGAACCGCATCCACCACCATCAAAAACATTATTTTCTTGTGATTTTGAATCATCTTGCATCGATGATTTTATTTCTCTATCGGATTATCCATATCAATGGTCAGTTATTCAAGCAAGTGATGCTATTAAAAAAGAAAGTGATGCACCTTCTATTGATAATACATTTGGTAATGCATCAGGACATTATGCGTGGTTAGCTAATTATAATTTGATTGAACCAGGAAAAGTTGGATATTTAGCCATGAAAAAACCTATTCATATCACTTCAGATGAATCATTTTGTCTAAATCTTAATTATTATTTGTATGGTCGAGCGACATCAAGTAATCTTTTAGTTTATACTTGGACATCAGGGGCATCTGATGAATTGCAAGTTATTTGGCCAAATCGAAATTCTGGACATGCCATGTAAATATTTCAACATTAAAAAAAATCATCTCTTATCAATATCTTTATTTATCTTATAGATACACAAAAAATCAATGGTAAGTGTCTTAAATAATAATCATATCAAATCAATCGATACATAAGGATTTTTTATAAAGTTCCAATACTTAAGTTTAGTCAATTCAGTATTGAAGGTGAGATAAGATTTAAATGAATAAAACCAAAAAATATGCTTTACTCTCATTGATTTTTAAATCCATAATAAAGTATGACAACGGATTACTAGTTATCAGATAGATTTGAAAGAATCCATTTTATTGATGTTTAACATGTTTCTGAATAGGAATTGGGGTATTATAAATCTACCTATTGGTGATTACACAATTCTTTTTCGAATGGACAGTACTGATATTATTCAAAGCTCATTTGCTTTGGATGACATTAAAATAACTTCATGTGCTTATCCACCAACACAATTATTACCGTACAATTCGATATTATCCTTTGTATGTAATTTTGATGATTTAACAATATGCAATATGGCCAATACTGATGATTTTAAACCACCTTCATTCAATTTTAGTGTAGTTACGGGTGATACTGTACCTAATAAAGAATTAGGACCTAATCGTGATCATACTAGCAATTCTTCATCTGGTGGTTTTGTCTATTGGAATCAACAACTACCATTTACTTCAAGTGATACTGGTTTTATTCGCCCAGAAAAAAGAATCGAACAAAATTTCGGTATGTGTATTCGATTTGCTTATTATGTCAAATCATCGACAATGAATAAAAATGGAACAACATTATTGTTAAGAGCAGGTGGATGTTACGGAAAAGAAATGTGGACTAATTCGTTGGATGATAGTTTAGGATGGCAAGTAGTAATGATACCTGTTGAAAAATATGCTTGTATGGAAAGATTCTATTTTCGTGTGACTCAAACAGTACCAGTTGCCGTCTCAGTTGCTTTTGATGATATTGAAATCGCTCAATGTCCTTCATTTGATCCAACGACAACTACAACTATATCAACATCAATACCAACAACTTTCACTACTCAAACTACGACGATAAGCACGATTATCAGTACATCAACAATACAAACAACTACTTCATCATTATCCACAACAAGTGAAATGTCAACAACAACAACAACAACAACAACATCATCTACATCAAGCAAAGCTGTACACTTACTGTCTATGAAATATATTTATTTGATGAGTTTTATTTTGTTGAAATTGTTTTCACGATTATGTTTTGAGTAAAATAAATGCTGACATAAGTATAACGATACTGTCTATGATTCATTTTGGCACTATAGTCGAAAGTATGCGTTTGAGTAAGAGTGTTGTTCCATTAAACTCATTTCATATTTTATTTTGAAAATATTTTATGTAGGATTTTTAGAAGGACGAATTGAATAAGCCGAATATTTAATTAATAACACATTAGATAGTTGTTACTCAACCTATTGCATACTGATATGTAAGAACATGTGAAGACGACAGACTATAGACTACTGAAAAATATAATTATCTTCAAAAAGATATTTTAACCAAAGAAGTGAATATGGAGAAGTACGACAACTTCGCTTTTTCTCACTTGTCAATAACACATTAGATAGTTATTACTCAAACTATTGCACATTGATAAAAACTAATATGTGAAGAGGACAGACCATAGATAAATGAAGAAAATAATTAATTTCAAAAAATATTGTATTTTGTACATGTTCACGAAAGAAGTGAATAAGCATGATATTTATTCATTAACGCATCAGATAGTTATTACTCAAAGTATTGCGCGATGATGAGTACTAATATGCAAAACGAAAGGGTTATAGATGCATGAAAAAAATAATCAATGTTAAATAAATTTTGAGTATAGAAATATGTTCGTTCAGGTGAGAGGAAAGAAGAAAAGGAATTCATTATTTCTATGTGATCGACGCATACTAAATGAGTGCGAATATAAAAGTCAAAAATCTCTGCAATGTCCAATTTCAATGAGTTGCTGCTCATTCATCATGAAATATATTTTCTAAATAAGGCACAGTCATCAAAATAAGTTTTCTTATAACCATAGGACAAAAAAATATTTTTTTTAATGTGGACAAGCAAGTATAATCATATATGAAATTAGTAATCTAATAGGAAAATCTTGCAAGATTCATAATTTTGGTAATATTTTACCTGAGAAAATATTCGAGGACTCAGAAAAAAGCAGTTTTTGATGCCAGAAGATTTTTTAAGAACGAGAAAAGTTTAAAAATCAGAATTTTTCTGACAGTCCTGTATGTAACACAAAACTACACGGTTAAAACGTAACTATTCAGGCATAACTTCACACAAGAAAGACAAAATTATAACGAAAAGGAGCAGAACGCAAAATCAAAATAGAAAAAAACGAGAGAAAGAGAGATTGAAAAGAGTCTACAGTATATAATCAGTGGACATTACTGATATTTTCATATTCTACAAGAAATAATGAAAATACAACGAGGAAGGTAAATAGCATTTTTATCCATTACTATGTATATAATCATATATATCCCAGTAAACTTAGATATAGTTAGGAATAAATTTAGTTTTATAAAATTATAATTGACAATTATAATTATATGAATGAATTTTTATTGTTTAAGTAACTCCCTAGGACAAAATCTTTGTTTGATTGTTTTTACTTATTTTTGAAGTGATATACGAAGTCGAATTAAACAATTCATAAGTACAGTGTATTCGATTCATTGATTTGATTTAACAGCATTTGTTCTCATATAGTGTTTATTAGATGTAGTAGCTTTGGCTTGTTTATATCTTTATTTCAATGAGCAAACTTTGAGATCCTTTTGTGATTTGTTTACTTTCATGGCTTTTCGTCGGGTAATACAGATAAGTTATGGAGCCACTGAAAAAAACATCCGGTCCTCTAAGAATTTACTCTGTTTAAAGGTTTAATAATACTTTAAATTGGTGGTGGTTAAGATCCACGGAAGTATAGTAATGTTAAAGATTATCCACGATAGTTGATGATAATGAGACTAAGTATTGCTACTACTCGTTTCATTTCACTTTTATATTTTTTAGGAAATTCAAACCTGAATATGGTATTTGCTACTGATTTAAGCACTAGTTCTGGGAACATTTTTCTTTCACAGTTTAACGAAAAAATGGGTTACTCGAACGGTGTATTAAGTGTCAAATCCATATTCGTGGATATTGGTAGTATTACAAGCACCAAGAGGAGAAAACGGCAATTATAACGATTACGGTTAGCTACTTTAAAATCTTTTTTGTTAAGTGAAAAAACTTTTATATTATTTCTTCTTTTAGAGCTGTAGTATTTTGCAATCCAACTCAAGCAGGTTCTATTGTTAGTCCAGGCAACAATCTTAGAATTATAATCACCATTGATGAGCGTTTAAAAACAAAATGCAAGACTGCTTATTGTTTTACACAATGTGTAACTGAAATCAAAACTGATATACAATCGAAATTTGAATCGACTTCATTTACTATTGTAACAAATCTTGGATCACATATAGGTTCATCTCAATTTTACGCATTTGTTCAAGTTATGCCAGGTAAGAGAGATACATCAAAAAGAACATTTCCTGAGGGTGTGGGTGAGTGTGAGAACTCTATTTAACCCACGCCTACCCTCATGATGGTTTGTTCCGGTGGTTGAGACAGAATATAGTTTGACTTGGTTTCTCATGTACCAAGAGCAACAATTCTACGTAAAATCTATCGAAAATATTTATACAATAACTTTTTCTCGCGAAAATGAACTGTATTCACAATTCAATTTTTTTAAAATAATCTGTATGTGAAAAACGTTTTTTTTTGTACTTTTATTTTTTGTACTAATTAACTAACATTTAGCGAACTTGATAAATATCAAGAAGCAGCTTCTTTTTTTAGTTAGCATCCATTCGGTTGTATTTTTTCGTTTTATTCTATATGTATTCTAATTAGAAACAAAAATAAAAACTTAAATTCATAATTGAATTAATTGTATAAGATGAACAGAAGATTAATCAAAAATGGTGACAAAATAAGAAACTAATAAGATTCTGTGATGCTTCGATAGCGGAAATTGTACTTATCGAACATTGTACAGAGTTTTTTTATTAAGTTTTTTTTCACCCGAATGTGGTGTCAAAGATATATTGTACTTCTGTGATAGAAATACTTTCTCCGTACGATTGTAATGTACATTTTTATGTTTAGAGATGATTCATAAAATGAGGGAAGTCATATTTCTTTAATGCTGCTTCGGAGAAATCTCTAATTGTTAAACATTAAATAAATTGATTCTTCAATACATCGTTTTTTCGAGTTATTGAGAGTGTGTATGTGAGCATTCATCTGTTTTCGAATCTACATTAATCCACACCCACATTCTTAATCAAAATCAATTAGATCACTCGAAATTTCGTTGCATAATAATCAATATGATCGATGGTTGAACAACAAAAATAGAGTGATGTTCACATGATGGGTGAATGTTATGAAATTCAGATAAGAAAATAAACTATCGTATTCTGTATGAATATCAATAAACCATTTTCAGATATTAAAATTAAAATATTATGTAACAAATAATAGAAATATTTATTAAATGAGTATTCACAAGATATAAACTTAATTTAGATGTAAGCTCTTATTACAATATGTTACAAAGAAAGCGAAAGTCTGCAGATCTATCTGAATATGATGGAAATAATAAACTATTTTGTTCTATAAATACTAAAGTTGATTTAAAAAGAATGATATTTTGAGTATTATTTTTGGGCAAAGAGATAGTTTAATATTAATTTCTGACTAGAGAGAAAGTGAAGATATTAGTAAGAAAGTAACATTTATATGATAGTTTGACCAATTACTGAAAAAATTTCGATGTTTTTAGTGTCATAGTTCAGTATATATAAACTTCAACGACATGACTTAGATAATGTTAAAGAATATTTGATTTTCTCTTCAATCATTTAACGTAGGAGAATACTAATTAATAGATATGAAACTATAATTTAATAAAAGGACTGATCAAGAAATTTCTCATCATCTAATAAAAGCTTCAATTATCAACTTTATGTTTTTTAATTGCATAATTATTTATCAAATGAAAAATAATATCGGCTTACTTTTGATTTTAATATAAAATAGACGATCAAATATAAATTTATTCAACAATCTTATTTTATCGTAGAATAATAAAATAAAATATTAGTTAGACATTTCTTTGTTAGAGATATAAATGAATAAATCAATATTAATCTCTTTCGCTCTTTGCTTAAATATTTCAGCAAAACTAAGTGACTGTTTAACATATATATTTTGATAATATCCAACAACATTTAACAAAACATGTGAGTCATATGTTTATATTCTTTCATCGGTAGATGTTGCCTTTGTACAATGAACTAAACAAAAGAACGATATAATATATTGTTTGCACTTTCAATTTGAATTACTGCTGATCTTCTAACAAAATCATAGCAAATAATATCGATCAGATGTGGGTGAGACAGTTATATGGATATGTATATTGATACTATCTCATACTTACACCCACACACCCACCCTGTTGAATTAAAAAATATTTCTTTTTGTAACTGTTTTCTTTTTATTTCAGCATGAACTCTATGATATCTTTTTATTTAATTATATCATATTTATATTATTATAAAATTGTTGAGAAAATAGAAAAATAATCCCTTTCTCATTTCACTTATGTTTAATTTATTTATCAGAGTAGTAATATTCGATTCTATATGAGTTGTATATATGACTTGATGCAAATCTATTGTATTAATTGAATAAATAAATACTACTTGTTTAGTATAGCACCTAGGATACTATAATCAATGAGATTTCTATTCTATAAGACCTTCGATGAATTATTTCAGTATTTTGATCATGAAGTATTGTGTTTCTTGTTAACTTCAAATAAATACAAATGTAGAGAGAAATTGTGATTTATGGTATTACTATTGATTGTATTCTTAAATGACACTTTATATTTAAGATTAGAATTGTTATTATTCAGTAATCTCTTTTTTTTCTAGTAGAATAGCAACAGATCTAATCATAATATTCTCTTGAACAACGAAGATATATAACCATTTGTAAATGCCAAATTTATGGATGAATATTGTATTGTCAATATATTATTTAGGCGATAATCCAGTACGATTAGAATTCGAAGGAGAAAAAAGAAATATTTATTTCTCGGTAAAAAGCATGTATCTTGTAGTTGTGCCATGATATATTCAAAATTTGAGAGAATATTTCTCGCACTTTTTTTTCAGCGAAACATTATAAGAAGGAAAAAAGTCATATTAAGTTAGTTGTGTAGTTTTTCTAATGCAATCATGGAGGTGCTTTTTTTGTTATTCAGAGGAATATGTGACGTTTATTGTTTTATTTCAATGTACTTTTATTTGTGACCCAATCTCGTTTATATTAGTGTAATTATAACACGACACGTAGATGTTTTTTTTTGGGAGTCCTCTGTTTCTATCGTTTCTTTTTCTGCATGCACAAAACATGGTAACAACGTATAAATGAAGAAAAAACTATTTCCTGAGTGAATATTTTTCTCAGTTGAGAATAAAGTACATTTGAATGTGTTGCTATGATAAATAATTCTTTAACATTGTTTAGAATACGAACAAAAAAGGTGTTTTGTTTTAATTAATCTAATAAATCGAATGCTTTATTGTCCATTAACATTATTCTATATGGATATGAATCTCAACTGTTTTGATCATTTTCAAATATAGTTCTAAGTCGTATAAATATTCTTTTATCGATTAAAAATGGAAGAATAGAAACGATACAATAACAAATGAGAAATTTTCATAATTCGTGTTATCGGCAGTCGAACAAATCTAAATGAAATGTACTGGATTTTGAAGTGGCTTTCCGATTAGGTTATTGATATATTGTATAATCTGTGCGATAAATTTGAAATATTCAAATGCTATTTATAGAGTGTTGAATGCATAAGTAAATTTCAATTGAATTATATTTATTTTTATAGAAAACTTCATCAGCAACTAAATGCTACTTATTGTTTTTTCCAATTTAATTCTGTTAGATCGATCATTCTTCTTATTTATTCATCTTCCAGATAACTCAAAACGTCTATTTATAAATATATTTGTCCTTGAAAGACATTTAAACATGTAGGAAAATCATCTTTCCAAATGAATAGATTTTTTTATAAAAGTACAAAAAAGTCCTGACTACTTTTTCTGATTAAACTGATGAAATGAATTCCGAGAACAAGAAAGTCATGACTGTTTTTTGATTAAATTGATGAGAGGAACTCAAAAAAAAGAAGTCCTGACTACTTTTTCTGATTAAATTGATGAAATAAATTCAGAGAAAATACCATCAATCACCCACTCAGAAGAGAAAAAAAAGAATTTATTGTTCAATAAATACGCTGTCTTCTATTAGGAATTGAATTCATTTGATCAACTTAGAATTTGGTGGGTGATGTCTTCAACAAGCGTTTGTGTATGGCTTTTATTTATAGTTATAAAACAAATAATTGGAGAAAATACAGGATCATTAATAGTGTCTTTATTACCTGATTCTAAATTTCAATGCGCTAATACAACATGTTTAGCATTCATTAATGTTATCAAATCAAATATTAGGAATTGTCAAGTAGCCTGTTTAACTCAAAGTCAATGCAGAGCAGCAACTTTTCATCGATCAACTTCTAATTGTGAATTATTTGATGATATGTTGAATCAAAATGGAAATATGTTAGCTGATCTCGATGCTACTAGTATGAATGTTATTAGTGGAACACGATTTCCATCGGGTCAGTATAAATACAATAGATTTAGAAGAAAATATATCTGTGACAGAGAAAAATTAGTTTTTTTGAAAAATAATTCCAAGTTACGGAGAACTAAGACAACTTGACAGAGCTATTGGACACGTTTGTGTCTAGATTACCGATTCGTTATTATCGTAGAGATACAGTTAAAGTAAATATGGTAGAAGTATAATTATAATGAAAGTCATTTAAACACTTCCTATTTTATCGTAATCAACTGATATTTAACGCCGATACATTGTTTCACAAAAAGAAAAAATCTTATCCAATTGTTTAGTCTGACTCTAACATGATTTTTTAAAAATAGAACCGACTACGACATCAACATCAACAACAGCATCAACAATATCCACAACAACATCATTAACAACCACTTCAACAACATTAACAACCACTTCAACAACATTAACAACATCATCAACAACTTCGACAACATCAACATCAGCAACTTCAACATCCACGACAACATCAACATCAACAACTTCAACATCATCCACATCGTCAACAACATCAACAACAGCAACCACAACTACTACTTCTTCATCAACGTCATCCACATCGTCAACATCAAAAACAACCTCATCATCAACATCAACAACAACGTCATCAACTACAACATCCACAACAACATCATCAACATCAACAACAACGTCGTCATCAACATCATCCACATCGTCAACAACATCAACCACAACAACAAGAACTACTACTTCATCATCAACAACATCCACATCGTCAACAACGTCAGCAACAACAACAACAACAGCCGGTCAGTAATATACTAGATAATGTGTTGTACTTTGTCGCAGTTTTCAAATCGATGATTTGTTCCACTAACCAGATTTAAAAGTTTGAGAGTTTATCGTTCCAAGATTTATCATTTCGGTGAACAAATGACATTTGTCTGAAGATTCGCTTCGCTGTCTCTTTTAGAAGCTTTATTTCTTGACATAACATAACATATTATAGTCATTATGTTATTAGTACAGACTTCCATTACGATAGCCGACATTAAAAAAGATTGACCTTGATTCGGACTTATCAATGAGCATTCCATTAGTTCAAGTTTTAGAAATGACTTTCAATAGTAACATAGCACTAGAATATAGTAGTATAACGAAGATTTTGTCACCAAGAACAAAGCCTCGATGTCGTTGCCTTTCCTTTGGTTACTCCTCGCCGGCCCGTAATTAGTCTTCGCCATCTGCGTCCTTCATTTTTTCCCTCGGATGGCTTTTAATCAGTCAGTAGGAGGCTGCACTGAGTCTATTACATGCTGTACTTATAAACCAGGCTAAGTAATAGAAGTTTTATTGATTGTGACTTGTGTTCTTCGATATTTACTCTACTAATCGGCCTATATCTCAAAATGAGTTGTTGTTTGAATAAGAATCGAATCTGAGAAGTACATCCATTTGTGGAGTGAGTATTGGAGAAAACAATTTACAATAATAAAAATGTGTAATGCTTAGTTTGGTTTAATAGTACAACATCTAGTAAACTCTGATGTTATTCTGCTTTTAACTTCCTGCATTTCTATGTCAAACACTGAAAAACAGACCCGTCATAACTCAAACATAGAACTTATTTTTGTTAAGCTGTTCTTGACGACAACGAGAATAGAATCTAAGTGTACAGGTAATTGTGAATTCTGCTTGGTAGGTACTATGTAGTCCCTTAGTTGAGAATATCATGAAGTTTGAAATGTATCGAGAAAACATTGTAAACGGCGTTGTTACGTAAAAGAAAGAATGGAGTATGATGAAAATTCATTAAAGGGAGCGTAAGTTTCAAATAAAGTGAGATAACTTCGTCAATTTTTCGAATTTACGAGAAGGGTTCACATAAAGATGAACAGAATGGCTAAACTGACTCTAGTTATGCTCTAAAATATCTGAAATTGTCCAAAACTCAGTGACATGATCTTTTTCAATAAATTACGTTCAATTAAGTTAGACTCTTAAAGATTGAATAAAATACGACGATTGAATACTCCCTCATACCAGTATAGATGTGAGAGCAAACTTTTTTGTATTTCATAGCCTGCAATATGTTTCTTAATCAAACTACATACCCAGTTGGTGCTACTCCGTATTTAGTAGCAGTCGCCGATGTGAATAGCGACAATAAACGCGATATTGTTGTTATAAACTCTGGTACGAACACCGTCAGCGTTCTGCTCAACACAGGTAATGGCACCTTTAGTGCTCAAACTATTTACGTAGTTGGTAGTACTCCTAATGGGGTAGCAGTCGTCGATGTGAATAGTGACAATAAATCCGATATTGTTGTTGCAAACGCTGGTGCGAATACCGTCAGCGTTCTTCTCAATGCAGGCAGCGGCACCTTTAGTGCTCAAACCACTTACCCAGTTGGTACTAATCCATACTCAGTAGCAGTCGCCGATGTGAATAGCGACAATAAACCCGATATTGTTGTTATAAACCATAGTTCGACTACCGTCGGTGTCCTTCTCAATGCAGGCAGCGGCACCTTTAGTGCTCAAATAACTTATGCAGTTAGTAATTCTCCAGTATCCGTAGCAGTCGCCGATGTGAATAGTGACAATAAACCCGATATTGTAGTTACAAACGCTGGTACGAACACCATCGGCGTTCTTCTCAATGCAGGCAGCGGCACCTTTAATACGCAAACTACTTACCCAGTTGGTCTTCAACCAATGTCAGTAGCAGTTGTCGATGTGAATAGCGACAATAAACCTGATATTGTTGTTGCGAACTATGCTTCGAACACCGTTGGTGTTCTTTTTAATGCAGGCAATGGCACATTTAATGCTCAAACTAATTACTCAGTTGGCAGTGCTCCATGGTCAGTAGCAGTCGTCGATGTGAATAACGACAATAAACCCGATATTGTTGTTGCAAACGAAGGTTCGAGCAACGTCGGTGTTCTTCTCAACACAGGCAACGGCACCTTCAATACTCAAACTACTTACTCAGTTGGTAGTCAACCATACTCAGCAGCAGTCGCCGATGTGAATAGCGACAATAACCCTGATATTATTGTTGTAAACGGTGGTTTGAACACTGTCGGTGTTCTCTTGCATTGTTAAGACTTATCGACTACTAATACTTATCTATTCATTAACACTTTACTACTCTACTAAGTACATTACTCTTATGAAACATTACACAATATTGACTAACATATATCTTCATTCTATATTAAGAATTTCAACAAAACTTTTCTGCTTTTTAAAATATTATCTGCTTTTCATGTTTAACTCAATTTCAGTTCTAATAAATCATTATTCCATATGTATCCGATGAATTCTTAGTGATGAATATTCTTGTTTTTTTTGTCGTCTTTGTTGTATAATGAAAATTAATAAGATGGTGATCTCGGATTTTCAATAGTTAATAAAAACGGCGGGTGGGTTTGAGTATTCTATCATAGCATACCCACAACCCCCTTTCAAATTCAATAACGAAACATTCTAAGAATAATAAATTTCGTCAACTAATAAAGTGCCTTTATTCATAGGTATTTATTGAAATATTTGTTAAAAATAGAATTAAAGAAGAATGAAAGATAAAATTTATAAAGAAGAAAAAAGACAAATAGAATCTCAAATAAACACACTCGAAAAAGATATCAAACAAAAAAAATCAATCAACAAACAAATTAACTAACTAATCATCAAACCATGAAGTAAGCCAGTCAATAACACCACGCCGCCGTCGTGAACCTATATCACAAACAGAAATTTAATAAAAACTAGAATTACATTAGAAAGAAATCATACCTGTACAATTTGGATAAAAACATGGTCGTGTACCATTTGTAGTAGAATTAGCAGTAGTATTACAAGCGAGACAACTTCGTAAAAATTGATCCTGGCAAAGACGTTGTCGCACATATACACCTGTGCCACATGTCACACTACATGCACCATTCACCCATGAAGACCAAGTACAAGCTAAAATGATTTATAAAAGTCTAACTGATACCTCTTCTATATTGATACTTACTAAGACACACATTTGTATTACATGATCCACCAATAGTTGTATTTGTTCCACATGTATTTGGATTTGAGCATGATATTGGAACTGATGAATTTACTGCAGCTACATTATAACATGTTCGATTCAATAATTGAGTACCATTGCCACATGTTTGTGTGCATGTAGTAGCTGGTATATATGGACCAAATTCACATACTAAAATGAAAATTTAAAAACTATTAATTAACTTCATATTTTATTTATTATTTATTCAAACCTTCACAAGATGATTGTTGACATATTTGTGTTTGCGAATTATTGCCAGCACAGGTACCACATGGTACATTAGAATTTAAGTAGAGACAAGATCGATTACGTGATTGAGTACCTTGACCACATGTTGTACTACATGATGACCATGTTGACCAACCATAATATGAACAATCTATTGAACAAAAAACAAAAAAAAAGTTTGACTTGTTTTATATGAATCAACAAATCTTACTTGTACAATTGCTTGATATTAACATTGCTTGTGGAGTAGTATCAGCAGTATTATTTGGCATCATACATTGATATGTACGACAAGAACGTTCTTGCCAAACAGTTCCAAGCTAGAAATATATATAGAAAAAAAACAAATTTTGAAATTTATTTCATTTTATTTTATATAAACCGCATGTTTGGTATTATTCAATCCATAACAACCACAATCACACCATAATACACATGAATTTGTTGCACTATTCCATGCATACGGTGATCGACATAAACATCCTGGTGTTTGTGATGTACACCATGTTGTATTTGTTGGATCTGAACAAAGTGATGGACAAGTTGCTGTAGTTGAATTTATAAATACTTGATTCATTGGACATACTAATACAAATAAAGATTTAAGTTATACACAAAAGATGAACAAATAAAAATTCTTTTTTTTTACATGAACAATCAGGTAATTCAGTACAATTTGTTACATTGAATGCTACACCTACACAACCATTACCACCTAGAAAAAAAATTTTTTTTCTCATTATTTATTGAATATATTATATTATATTTCTATTTA